AGAGGAATAAGTAATAAGTGAAAGAAGAGAGGGGGAAGAGAAAAGCTTTGTATGCTTTTTGTTCAAAAGCCTCATAAGTGGCGTTTTCTAGTCTTTAACAGCTTTTGAAGATCTGTAGCATTTTGCTAAAATTTCTGTATTGTCCTTTGCACTGATTTTGGGTGTACTGTCCACGCCTGCAAAGGGTATCTCCTGTGATGCTTTTGGGATGTCATAGCTGTTCAAGGTGCAGCTAGCTAATGGGAAAGGTGGAGGCCATGAAGTCAGGTCAGTCCCTGGTACAGAGAGGCTGGCATCCCAGCCTCATCAGTGCCTGCTTTCTGTGGAGGAAGAAGCTGCCCACTGCTTCTGCTGTTTCTGCACTGTACTGTACCACTGCTCGACTGTCTCAGTTGGCAGCTAGCCCATAGATGCCTCTGTACCTTTGTCAGCAGGCCTAAAGGAGTTGTGCTATTCCCAGGTAAGTTTTTGGGGTGTGAGGATGAGACTGTTAAGGCAGAGTTTCATTCCCTGTCTTGATAGCATAGGAGTCTCTGCAGTGGCTTGGGGAAATCATCTCTGTAGATATGCATGTGGTCTGTGCCCCTCACCTAGTAGGTAAGAGGATGTTTCCTACTGGGATGTGCTTTGCCTGTCTGAGCCCAGAGAACCCCACAGTATCTCTTTTCCTGCCTGGGGGTGGTCTGGGCCCAGCACTGCACACCCCACAGCAGAACCTGTTGTTTCTGAGTCGTCCTTCCCTCTCTGGTCCAGGTTGGTAGTGACTGAGATGTGATGGCTGCGATCTGACCCATGGGAAATGCAATGTCTCAGGCCAGTTTCAGCCAGGTAAATCCGTGCATGGCTCTCTAATCTGGTTACTTAGTCTGTACCATCGCCTAGTCCTGGGGTTAGCAGCCTATGCTGTGATCACATGGCACAAGTCGATCAGCAAACAGCAGGGGTTTTATTTTGCTGGCTTAGACAGATAGAAAACTATTCTATTTTTTTCTTTGTACCATCATACAGATAAATGGGTGGTATTTAGTCTCTGCAAGGCACAGGAGCTCCTTGCTTCTGCTCAGTTCCTACTGGTTTGGGAAAAGAAAATGTGAGGTTGCTGACCCCTGGGTTATGCTGTGCATGAATGTACTTAACAAAGGGAGTGGTGCTGAGCCCCCACAGTATCACAGTACAGAATCAGAGGCTTCTGTCCCAAGTGTTATGGGTCTGTCACAGCCTTTTGGCTTCTTTCCACAGTGGCAGACTTGCAGTTCTGCCTGCAGATACACCGGGGTGCTTGAAGAAGAGGCAGGCATCCATAGCGGGAAATGTTACTTCCCTTTCCATATTCTTGAAACTGCTGAACCCTTTTGACTTTTAAGTGAAATTGCTTTGAAAGAGAACAAAGTCACAGAGGGCAATAAAAGATGGTGGACTAGCAAGGCAGGAGACAATTATATGGAACCCCAGATATATTGCTTTGAGAACTTGCTGCTTTTGAGAGGCTCACCCATGCATTTTGAGCACCTCAGTACTCTTTGAGCAAGTGGTCCTGCAATATAGCTGGAGAAGACCTGGAGACCTGAAAATACATCTGAAATACTTAATACTGTTAGTTGTTGAACTCTTTTCCCCAGATGGGAACAACAATCTCAAACAACTTGCTGCCACAGAATTGTTGTAAGGTGAACAGCTTTCCTCTGTACCAGAGAAGAGCTCAGGTAGAAATGCATCCTGTGCGAAGATTACTCGGGTTGCCTGAAGAGTCTGCTGGGACTTGATTTTCCTCTCTTCCTAAGCACCTCTGGTTATTGACAGTATTAAAGCTGTGGGAGTTTTGAACTGGTTCTTAGCGTCCTACAAATATGAGAGAGCCTCATATACAGAGAGAGCCTCTCAAATATGAGAGCCTTCCCCACATCAGAGCTAAACTACTTCTCTGGAAATTGTAGACCTGCTTTGTCGTAAGATGAGACGGGTGTGTTGGAGGTAGGTTATATGGGGACATTCTCACATGGTGTTTATGGACACTGAACCTCCTTCTACTCTCCCTTGAGAGCAATAACCAACAGGCAGAAAGCAAATATAAAGCAACTGAACCCAACTGAACTGCACCTCTGGGAGCAGTGTTGCTTGAATCATTTGGTGAATCCTGTGCTGCTGTCTTCTCTTCCAGTCGGGGGCGGTGAATCTCTGCGTACCTACTGGAAGATGTACTTGCCCAAAGTGCTGTTGCTAGTCTATGTTGTGGACTCGGCTGATCATGCCCGACTGCCTGTGGCGAAACAGCTGCTTCATCAACTGATCCAGAACAACTCCACCCTGCCCGTGGTGATTCTGGCCAACAAGCAGGTAAGAGTTCCCTGCTGCTAGCTGAGCTTGGGCTGGCAGCAGCTCTGGAAACAGCAAAAAAGCCTTTCAAAGGAGGCTTTGTGCCTTTAAGGAGGCCGCATGGCTGGGAGTCGTTCTGACACACCTGTTGACCACAAAGCAAAATAATCTGAGGTTGAGTTTTGGATCTGCAAGATGCAGGTCCTGTGCTTGGTAAAGATGCAATCAGAGCTGTGGGTGGAAACTGCTGCACAGGTTAGAGAGCTGCAAGGGAGACCACAGTCAGATCTGAATTTAGGTTTCTGTTCTGAGTATCTGCCTAGAAGTGCCACTCTACCTAGCAGCAGCTAAAGAGTGAAGTACCATTGTTTGCCTTCAGATTGTCCAGTTGATTGCTCCTAAGGCTGCTGCTGAAATCTGAGAGAAGGAGCAGCTTTCTTCACAAGGCAGTGCTTCCTCCTAAGATCTTTGTGAAAGTGTTGATGATTGGTACTGTACCTGGAACAGAACTGAGCCTCTGGAACAGGCCAATGACAGAACAGACCAAGGCTTTTAATCACAGATTTTCTTTTACCACGGCTGTGTGCTCAGTTTGCTGTACATTGTTACCTCCTAAGTTTCTAGGAACTGAGGCGTGTTACTAGTCATTTGTGTTACTCTTGAACACAAGTGCAGGCCTGGGCTTCATCAAACTCAAATGCACCAGAAACAGTGGTGACTAAGAAGGTAGGTAGGGCACAACTGTTGTACGTTTGCCCTGGTCTTATAACTCTCTGATGGACACTCGGGGTCTTGGACCAGCCAGGCTTTTGTTTGCCTTTTACAGGTGGTCTTACACAGTTATCAGAAACACTGGAATTAGTACAGAAATAGAAATCAGAATTTTACCCATATTTCTTTGTGAAGAACTTAGGTTAGGGATAAACTCTTTTCCCCAAAGCATTTTAGGGCATGAGAACTCAACCTCGTAGAAGGTATGTAAGAATGGTGCCCCAGGGCCTTTGAGATCCTTCCCCTCCCTGGACAAAAGCAGTGGCTCAAAATGGGAATAATGATGCCACCTCTTGCAACTAACAGGCTTGTTTTATTTTTGTGTATCAGGACGTTGAAGGCGCATATTGCATCACTGATATCCACGATGCTCTGGCACTGTCTGATATTGGGGACAAGAGGAAGATGTTCTTGATTGGTACCCACGTGGCAGAAGATGGCTCTGAGATCTCCTCCAGCATGAAGGATGCCAAGGAGCTGATAGCGCAGCTGGTTTTGGAAACACAGTGACAGCTCTTTTCCTACACGGTGGTGTTTGTGGCTGAGGGAGAGCAGGTGTTACTGTACGGTCAGTTTGCCATGTGGCAACTGAAATGTACAGATATGTTTTCCTTGTGGGTGTGGAATTCCTCTGAAAGCAGTGTCTAGTTGGTAAGAAAATCTAATTTATGTAGTGGTTTGAAAATACATTTGAGAAGTAGTCTATTTTTAGCATGTTTTTAGGGGGAAATTAGTCTCTCAGGCAGTAGAGTTCAGGGGATATATGGCTTAGATGGGCTAGATAGCTTCATGCCAGGTGGGAATCAAGAACTGACGTCAGTGGAACAAAGTTGCATCCAGTGAATTTAACCTGGCTTGATGTCTCAGGCTTAAACTGAAATATGTTTACTTCACAGATTTTATAGAATCCTGTTAACAGGTGTTCTGTTAAAAATGAGACCTCACTTCTTGTCAGTGTCAGAAATTGAAAGTGCTGGGACTAGTATTTTTGACAGTGACAATTCTTGTTGCTGTATTGGAGCCGGCTGTTAAGGGAGTGGCAAATTGGTAACCTCTGGAAATTGGGTTGGTTACTGCTTGTTTAGTGGGTTAGAACAAGAAAATGAAAGCAGTAATACATTAAGCGTTTCTTTGCCTACAGGCAAAAAACCAAAATGGTGTCATTTGAGGTAGTGACTGGAAGCATTTAAGTTAAATTGGCACCAAAGCTGGGAGATTCCTTCTTCAGGCTGAGCGGCTTATTTCAGCTTAGTCCGGGATGTCCTCGAGCAAGCAGTCTTAAGTGTGAAAACGCTGTTGTTTCTTGAAAGTGGTCTCTGTTAACACAGCAGGCGGGGATGGTGATGAGCCGCTGACAGTGTCACTCTCTCAGTGTCCTCCTAATTATACTCGAAGGAGGGACCGTGAGCAGTCCCGTAAAGGACCTGTTTTGCAACCGCGTCTATTGTACGAGGCTTTTGTAGTTTTGTCCTTTGTAACAGATGCATAAAGCAGAAAATTCCACTCTAACCCGTGGTCCGGGCTTCATTTACCCGAACAGCTGGGCTGCGGGGCACTCTCGAGGCGTCTCTGGGTGAGCCGCCGTGGAAACAGCCTTTGTCACCTTATCGCCATCGGTGGGGGCCGGGCCCCGTGCGCTGCCGGCCTTCCCCCCGTGCCTGTGTGCGCCCCGGGCCCGCCGGGAGCCGGGCGGGGCGGGCGGAGCCGTTGGGGCGGGCGGGGCGGGGCCGGGCCATGGCGGCGGCCGGGCCCATCCGAGGTGCGTGGGGGCCGGGGCCCGGGGCCCGCGGGGCGGGAGGGGCGGCCCCTCCGCTCCGGCAGCGGCTCCGCCGAGCCCCGGCCCCGCCCCGCCCGCCCCAACGGGCCGCGGTGGGGCTCGGAGGGAGGGAGGGTTCCCGGGCACGGAGGGGCTGTGGTGCTGGCAGGCCCCTGGCACCGCAGCTGGGAGTGCTGGATGCCGGGCCCGATCCGTGGCCAGCGTTGCCCTCGGGGCACGTGGATGCCTGAAATCACCCCTGGTTTTCCCACAGTGCGACTGTTGCACTGTCACTGTCTTTCCTGTCATCCCATACCACACCCCCACACTTGCCACCTTAAAATACGGCCGGTTGTTTTCTATCGGCACCAAGTCCCAGTTTAATCCAGCTGCTCTTCCCCCGAAGCTCTGAAAACCTCCCCCTCCCCGGAGGCTACTGAAGTCAGTAATTAGGGGTAGCGACACTGAGTCAGGTGGGAGCCCGCGGGTTGGTGGCCACTGGTGCCAAGGAGGAGGATGCTGATGAGTGAATGTGATGTTGGGGGTGCTCTGTACTTCAGCCTTGAGGTCTGCCAGCATCCCCCAGTAAGGGGCATCCATTGGTGAGCACTTCAAGTGCAAGGTGCATTGCCAGGCAGCTACACTGGGAAGGGACCAGGGAAAAACAATACAAATACCTGCTGAGCAATTGTATTCTAAGAAGATGCACAAACTTCATCTGCCATATGATTATTTCATGCTAAAGAGCAGGCGGCCCAGGCCACAGGTGTTACCAAGTTTTTGAATTTACCTGTTCTTGTCTTTGCAGTTTCTTCTTATTCATCTGTACACACCAGGTAAGAAACCCTCCCAGCCTCAGCCCCCTGGCTGGGTGTTGAGACTGTGCCCCGTGTCTCATGGGAGGGCTCAGTCAGGGATTTACACCGCACAGTGAGTCAGTATATTGGATGCCACAGTGGTAAACACTGAGAGGAAACGATGCCTGGTTTTCCCCTTCCCTCGGCTTTTCATGACAAACATCTGATCATCCTGCTCCTTAAAAACAGAAGCTGTGACTGTTTGATTTACAAGGAATTGATCTCAAAGGGAGTTGATCCCCCTTAAGCAATGAGTCTGAGAGCTCAGGCAGCAGAGGGGAGGTGTTTCTTTGTCTGGCTGCAGCAAGGCCTCGTTTTCCTTACTGGGAAGCATGAGCAGGACCAAACGACAAAGCGCTCCCCCAGTGCTCTCTCATTGTCAGTGAGGTGGCTTAACTCCTTCAAGTTGCACAGCTTCTGCAGGTGCATCCTGTATGGGGATGCCTGTCTGTCTAGAGATTTTGCCATGATAAAAAAGTCAAAAGTAATATTTTTTCTTATTAAATGGGAAAAAAAGATTTAATACTTAATGATTGTCGAGATGAGGGACCTGATTTGAACATAACGTGCGACTCGTTCATTGGCTAGGTCATGATGCGAGCCTTGCACAGCAGTGTCCAAGCCAGCAGTGCAGGGCACTAGGACCGTGTGCACGCTGTGCTAGATTTGGCTCTGGCCGTGGGGTGGGTATGTGCCAGCAGCAGAGGAAAAGCAGCAAGCTTGCTTGCAGAGATAGTGCTAGCTCTGTGGTGCAGCTAGGCTGGGGAGACCTCTGCCTGCTTATCCTTCACCCTCTTGCAACTTAGCAAGGAAAAGCTGCTGGGGAGCCACTTGGGAACTGTTTTTTGGCTCCTGAAATGATCTCTGCCTTCCTGACTCTGTCCCATTTGGAACTGGTGGCAGGGGGCCAAAGTCCTGCAGGCACAGTTCCCTGTGTGGGATCTCAGTGGGAGCTGTGTTTCCAGTGCTGTGGCTGGCAGTTGGGTGTGACAGGGAGATAAATCAGCAGGCATCTTGCATGGAGTGTGTGGTGAAGGTGCTGTAACAGCAGCCTGCCATTGTTAGGATCTCTGATGTTGAGTGCTCTGGCAAGCATTTGCTGGGACTTGGCATCTCAGTAGAGGTATTAGCCACATCAGAGAAACCACAGGTGTGTCCCCAAAGCACAGACTATTTTCTACCAGCAAATATCTCTCTCTCTTGGTGTCCTTGTTTTCTCTAGGTCTATGCTACCTTATTGAAGGGTGATACTGAGGAGGGAAGCAAGGCCCCAGGATTTCACTTTCTGTGCTTTTTCCATGATAGGACACTTCCACAGCTGCCTGCACAGTGTGGTTGTTCACCAGCTGGCTGGGGGCAGGCACTTGCAGCCCCAGTGGGTGGGTATGGGCTTGGTCTGTGACATCCAAGTGTTGTGCAACACACTTGTGGCACTGGGTCATCTTGTTGTTCCCTCTGTACCAAGGCTCATAAAGCACAAGCACTTCCCAGCCACTGGGATTTCAGACCTGGTACTCTTGATCAGCAGGAACAGCAGTGATATCTTTATGAAAAGTTTTGGTCTGTTGTATATTCAATAAAAACATTTTCAGAGCTGCTCCTAGGCCAGAGCCCATGTATGTTCCTGTGTCTCTAAACATCTAAGACCTCTGTGCTAAATGGACTGAAATAAAATATGCTTCTAAAGCCATGTAGCAACACTGCTGTCTCCATGATGCCTCTTAGTAAACCACAACAGTGTTGATAACAGGTATTTTTGTTCATCTGGGCTCCCATAGGCTGGGAGATCATCCCTCTCCTACCTGCAGAGGTTTCATGGCATATTATTAACCACAAAAGTTCCTCCCCACTCTACCTGCCATGTCCCAAAAGGACCTTGCAGTGAAGGCAGAATTGCAAATTTGCATCTCTACAATCCAAGAGAAAGCACAAAAATTCATGGGCTGGTGAGTTCCCCAGATTGAATGAATGGAAAGTGCTTGAAGAGAGAGATCCTTAAATGCCCTCTCTCAAGGGAATGGAGGCAAAAGCACAGGGGTTTTAGAGTGTGTTATATGGCTTTGAGTAGAGCAGTGGCTTCTTTATGCTTTGTTTGTTTAACTGTATGTTTAATGACTTTTTGTCCTTTTCTGCAATTTTGACAGGATACATGTACTTGCAGAACCCAAGCAAGTGGCTTATGAAAGCAGTCCCAGGTAAGCAGGTGCTGAAACAGCCCTTGTTCGGGGGCTGGGGACTGATGGGGCTCAGGCAGATCAGACCCTTGGCCATTGTCTTGCTACTGCTTTCCTCTCTGTCTCCAGGAAAGCAGACTGAGAAATTCAGTGCTTGAAGGGCTCACTCCATTTTGCCCCTTCTTGTGTTCAGTCAAAAAACTGGGCTTGACTTGCATCTTGCCTTTGTTGCCCCATCTGAGCTGCCTAACTGAGATGCTGCAGGGTAGGATGGTGCTGTGGTGCAAGGTGACTGGATCTTACTGGAGCCACAGGCTGCTGTATCCTGGAGGACACAGTCCAGCTTTAGTAACAGAGTTGCTGTCTGCATGATGTGGTCAAGCTATAGCTTGACAAGCTAGGGCAACAGTCTCTTGATAACATCTCTTCTCCACTGTCTGGATGGATCTCAAAAAAGGCTTGACAAGCCCATTGCCCTGGTGTTCCCTATCCTGACTATTCTGAAACCCCCTCCCACTATGGCCGCTCTCTCACTGGTGGATGAGCAACTCCAAATTAGCCCTGGGCACAGAAGAGTAACCACTAACATGCTGTAAAACCTCACCCACTTTCCATGGCACACCTTGACTGTAACATTATTACTGTTTTTACTGTCATACCTGTGGTGTAGTTAGGTGGTAATAGTGAGGCAAAAAAAATGTAATCATGAAACTCCCTCAGGGGTTTCAGAGATGTAGTGAAATGACCCTTTCTGCACATCCTCCAGTGACTAAAACCAGACATAACTTGAAGGTTCTTTTGTTTTTGAGTTGACAACCACCACCTGGAGAGTGTTAGGAAGTTCAGTGCCACAGAAGGTGAATGCTCAGGTGGTAGTAGTGGCACTTTAAAGCTGTGGGGAGCCGTAGGGAACGTGTGTGTTGCATCCTAGGAAGGGAAGGACAACACCAGCGAACACATTTCACCCCTGTGCATATTACTAAAATTTCACACCCTTTCTGTTCTTTCTAGGCTTGAGTGGGGAAACCAAGAGACCATCTGGCCCCTCTCATGGGGGGCTATGACAGCTCGACCATCTTCAAGAATAACGTTACTGTCCAAGTCCAGGATAGAGTTTTGCAAACACCAGCGAAGGTCAGTGATGCAGTACCCCAGCCTGCAGAAGGAGGCAGCTCAGACATGCTGTCTCTCAGGGGAAGGGGAGATGCCATCTCCTCTGCTGCCACCACTGCCCCACAGGGAGCTCCACTGTGGGCATTGAGACTCACCAGACTGTTTTGTGCTTGGAACAGAGGCTGCCTATAGTGGGGAAGAAAGTGCTATGGGAGCATAGTCACCCTGAGTGCTTGACTTCCAAAAGGGTTAGGAACTGGGAATTGCTAAGTTTTGGTGCCCTTTTATTTCCTCATGCCCACTTCCTGGTTGTGGGAAGGACTTCTGCAAGACATGGTTGCTGATCTGATGATGCGGTTCCCATCAGCGACCATAGGAGCTTGCCTTGATCTCAGTCTTCTAGTACATGCCACTGTTCACCATTTATGGGTTCTCATCCTCTTGAGAGCTTCTGCCTCTTGCTAATGGTGTCCATCTGACAGCCCTTTCTGCCTTTCTGCTTACCTCTGCTTACTTCTTCCCTGGTGATGACAGGCATCTTCCAACAGTTATGCCTGATGGAAAGTTGGATGGACAGACCACTTTTTGAGCCTGGGGAGATGAAAGGAGCTACAAGGGCACAAGATACGAGATACAAGATCAGACCATTGCAACAAAGAGGTTTCTAAATTGGCAGAGCTGACCAACAGCTGGGTGTTGGTTGTAGAGTGGCTTCTTGAAATGATCCAGGAAAAGCCTAGCCTTTGAAAGCAATGCACTGAGGGTGCTTAAAAGAAAGCTCTTCAGATTCGAACAGCATTTACCTTTTAAGTGAAGAAAAGTCAAGTGTAAATGCCTATTGGTTTGTGGGTTTTCCATGTGCATCAGGGCCAGCTTTTGTCCATGCAGCAGGCATGGACCCATCTTAGGAAATCATTTGCCAGGATCATGTTCTATGTCAGTTGCCTTTTGCTAACTCTTCTGTGCTGTTCCTCAAAATCCTTCTTCTTGTACAGCTACAGATCAGTGATCGGTGGGCGTCCCCCGCTAGTGAAGTTTGCCTACCCTTCTGAGCGGCTGCTGAAGTTGTCTGAACCTAAAAAAGTCCACCCGGCCTTCCTGCAACAAAGGTGAGAGGCTAGAAAACCTATAGGGTGCTACAGGTAGGCCCTTGGGCCTTGCAGCATCAGTGCAGCTTCAAAGTAATAAATGCAGGAACAGAGGATGGGTGTAACAGAGGGCAAAATGCAGAGCAGGGTCTGTGCTGGGATTAGAACTTCTGGAACCTCTCCCGGGATGAGTTCTACACTGGAAATGGCCACAAGACAAAGCTGCCTTCTACTGCAGCAAACATGAGGCTTAAACGCCCCAGCGGCAGCCTGGTTAAACCAGAGCGGGGGAGTGTTTGTGAGTGGTGGTGCTGTTACTCTCTGCTTCCAGATCCCCCGAGTGGCCCGTGTCACTATCCGCACTGACCTACAATGCCTCCCCGCGGATCCTCGCGCTTGCCCGGCCAAAGTCGCTGCACCCACAGTTCGTTCCGCCCAGAGAGGTGAGGAGGTGGTTGAGTGAGATTTGGAGGGAATAGTGATGCAGCAAACTGTCCTGAGTTTTTACATCCTGTATCCTGCCCCTGGATGTGCCCAGTGTGTGCTATGGAGGAGAGAAGCTGTCTGGTTCTGCTGGGATTTATAATACTGAGAGAAACTGCCTTCTTGGAGTGAGATACTGTCTTTGCAAATCTCCCTGCTGAGAGAAGGAAAACAGCCAGGCTGGAGCAGCCTAGTATAGCAGGAGAGCCAAGGGAGGCATCTGGGCTGCATCCCCTGATAAAGCAGCCTGGGGAACTGGAGAAACCTGATGGGAATGGCCTGTTTAACTCTTAGAGAGTACAGTCATGTTTGTATTTGGGCAGCTTTCCTCCTATCTATGTATATAGGGGGCGTGAGATTGCAAACAATATGTATATTTTAACAATGTTTTACTAGAAGCCTAATTTAGAGACTTATTTCTGAACTTGTTCCTTTTAGGTGGGTCATTGGTTTGGCAGGGGTGAAAGGGCTTGGAGCAGTCTCACATTACACTCATTTCTGTGGCAAAGGCTAGTCTGCATGAATGCAGTCTCTGGGGCTGGGAAATGGGAGGCTGCGCTGGAGCAGGATTTGGCAACAGGAAAAATAGGGAAGAACTCCCATGCCGGAGCAGCAATCACTTTTTCCATAGGAATGCAGTTAACTGTATGAACACTTTTACCCTGAAATCTATGTGTCTCTCCTTAGCAGGGAAATCATTTGATTCAGCCAGGAAGATATACGTGAAAAACACGGAAGAAATTTCTCTGCTACAGGGAGAAATTTACTTGGCTACACAGGCTCTCATTACTGGCATTCCTCTCCTGGCTATGAGTAGGCAACAGTGGGGAAAAGAAGTGATAGTGCCTATAACATACAAATCCCTATAGCACTGAAATTACCTTATAGTTCAGGTGAAAAAAGAACAGTGAGTGCTGGGGAAGTAAGAGTGCTCCTTCTTGTGACCATGTTTGCACAGGAAGGGTCCTGAGGTGCTCATCCTCGTGGAGGAGGGAGTGTGTCCCTGTGGGCTGCTGTGGACAAGTTCTGTATCTGCACATCCTTCCTCTATTCTCAACCCATGCAGGTGCCAACACAGGTTCCAACTTCTGCGACCTTGGCCAGCGCATCTCCACGGATAGAGCGTCTGGCAGAGCCCTGTGTCAGGCAGACGACCTGCTGCTATAAGCACAGCTATCCTGAATCTGTCATTCGTCAGGTAAGGCAGCATCACCCGGGACCCTGTACGGAAGGGACACTTGGCAGAGGAGAGGACATGGGTGCTCAGTCCCTTGTGGCTCTCTTCATGGCAGCCCTGAATGTGCTGCTCTCTATAAGGCTAATGAACTTGAACTGTAAAGCAGGACTCATCCTCCATTCAGAGCATGAACTGACTCCCACAGATGTCCCCAGAGAATGGCAGAGCTGAGCCTAGCCTGCAGTTGTGGGAATGGGGAGAGGGGGACAAGTGTCTAACCAGGATCTCCAGTGCTGCGGGGTGGGTTGGACAAAGGGCTATGGGTAAAGGGAGGCTGGAGGGTAGGTTGTGGGAATGGCCAGGCAGAGATTTCTGCTTCTACAGTTTGCCTGGTGCCAAACACATCTGAGGACAGATCGTCCCATCTGCTTGTAGTCAGTGGCTGTGAACCTGGGTACACTGAGTTAGTGGAGGCTGACCACCCATGAATGCCAGGAGCACCTCTAAGGACCTTTTACTCCTAATTCTTCCACAGGTTTCCAAGTCAGCTCAGCAGGCAGTTGCGAGCCCTCGGACCATTGAGCTGGCTAGGCCAAAGAAACTCCATTCTAAGTATGAGGCCCCACGGAATCCTGAGTGGCCAGTGTCAGAGGCTGCCAAACGTGCGGTGGCTACACCAAGGATTGTGGAACTGGCCCAGCCTGGCAAAAGGTAGGTACTGCTTCCCTGTCACGAGGAAATTATCAGCTGCCAGCCCATTTTCTGCAGGCCATAGCACCTTGTTGATTTGCATTTGGCCAGTGAGATTAAGCCACTGTTCTTCCACTTCCAAAATGCGTGTATTTTCTCTGTCTGGATGTGGTAATGATACATGGGTTGTGCACTTTTGAGGTGGAAGGAGAGTCAAAAGAGAAGAAATAGGAACTTTCTAATTCCAGCAGGAATTACTGGTTGGGACTTCTTATTAATGACTATCATAAAAATCACCCAACTGGCACAGGGCACAGTGTAGCACATTCTTGTTGCCCAGCACGATGCAGCTGGCCTCAGCCTAGCCTGCAGAAAGTGCTGGATAGGATGTTTCACAGAGGGTGGGGGAATACCTGGCTGTAGTGACTGCCAGACACATCCCTCTCCTGGTGAGAGCAGTGGAGGCATGACTCCTTCTATCCTCCCTTGACAGGGAGGGGCAGGGCGCAGGTGGAGATGTGTCAGCTGGCAGGCAGCTGGCCCTGCTCTAGTCAGGACTGACCGTCCCCATTCTTTCTCCCCCAGGCCTCCTATGGGCTTGGCTCAATTCAACCTAGATGCATTCAGAGTGAAGGAGACTGCTATGAAGGCAACTTGTTCTGATCGGATCCGAGAACTAGCTCGCCCAATTCAGCGCTAAGCTCCCTCAGAAATGCACCTGCCAGCTGCTCCCATCACCCCTTGGAACATCACTCTCTCTGGGATGTGCTGTGGGTAAAAAATCTACTCGAACACAGTGCAGAGGCAGCACTCAACAGAAACACTTTCTGGGAATTCAAATAAAATGGTCACTCCTTATGAACACTCACCAGGGGAAATGAACAGAATTTGACCTAATGTGGGAAGCCTCTCTCCCTATGAGAGGTTATGTCTGCAGTTTCTCTCCTTATTGTTTTGCTGTAATAGTTAAAGAAGTAATGAATCAAGTACTGGGGGAAGGCAGCACAGCACCTATTCTTTCACACAAGAAAGCGTGGCAAACCAAACGCAACAGCATGCAGTAGGGTGATGCAACACAACTCCTGAACTTGGGTTTAAAAATTTTTGCTAAAGTTTAAAGAACTTCTTACTGACACTCAAAGTTTTGCTCTTGTGACAGAAGTAGAGACACAAAAGGCTGCAATGTATGTTGAGTTGGCTTGGATTTGGGACCTGTTTTCTCAAATGCCTGGAGAACAGGCAGATCCAGCATTTTCCTTTGCATGCATCTTTGATATACATTATGCATCTGGGTAAAATCTGTGCAGTTCAGATACTCAGTTGTGTGACCCTGAGCAAAATAGGGGAGTTCTGCATTGGGATTTTTTGAGCCTAACTCAAAAAAGCAGAGCTCCCCTCAGTGTAAGAGAGAAAGCACATTGCAAAGGCTAAGAAGAAAACAGATATTGATGCCAGACTCTGCAGAACAAATTCTGAGCTCCAGTCGGGTCTGAGAGTGAGTCAGTTTGGCAGCTGGATTGCAGGGGAACAACGCAGCCTTTGCGGGACATGGCACAGGGAGAATGCTTTTATCTGTTTCCTACAAGTTTAGTGTGCTTTGCACTGGCAGCCCAACCCCTGGCGATGGGCAGGAGATACTGAGGCAAGAGGGATGCTCACCAGTAAGGGACAAAAGCCACAAATGAAAGCCTGTGGCAGTTGCAGAGTCAATGTATTTTAATCTTCCCTGTGTTAAGCTGATTCTCCTTCCAAAGAAGTAGAGGCAGGTGACCACAAACCAGAAGGGGATTAATCGGAGGATCCATTAATCAATTCAGTAATCCACTAAGCAGAGAACTTCTGAACCCTTTTGAACAAGGTAAGGTCACTGGGAAATGGTGCTGATTATTTTTAGACCATGCATCGTTCTGTACCAGGATGGATGAGAGCTTGGGTTTTGTGCAAGAGCCCAAGCACAGCTGCATTCCTCAGTGAGAATGGCCAAGAGGAGGCTGGAGCCTGCCCCCTACACCCCTCACCCTGGGGGGGAACCCCAGCACCACCAGCCCCTGCCACCTCGGGGCTTAGGGTGTGCATGGGGCTGTATGGGCTGCTGTACAGGGACCCATGGGTGTCCTAGAAGATGAGGTTGCCCATGTCTGCAGGCTGTCCCTGTGGCAAGAGGGAAAACCCACAGTGGCCACTGAGGCCATCTTGGAGAAATGTTGCCCTGCCAGAGGAAGGAGTTTGCCTCCTGCCATTAGGGCAGGGAACACAAGTAGGGACATAACACAGCTCCTCTCATCAAAAAACACTGGGTTTTTTATTATTGCATTGGGAAAAAAAAACCCAAACCAACTCATTCTTACTCTTTGTTGACCTTTAACAGAAAGGTAAAAAAGGCATTCAAGTGGGGCTTGGCTTGGTCTGATTATGGTGTAGGCACTTGGTTTGCCAAGATCCAGAGCTGACTCTGGCATCTTGAGCTAAACAAGGTCACCTGAACAACACATCTGGTTTTCCAGGTGCCTGCTCTCTGGATTATCTCTGCCTTAAAGCTAGCACACATACTTTGCCTCTGGGGATTGTAAGGAAAAGGAATCTTTATTTCCTCCTTCTATATTCGAACATGTTTCATGGCAGCTTTTCTGCAAGCCTGGGACAAGAGCATGAGATTGCCTTGTCCTGTGGAGCTGCTGTTAATGGGTTGGAATCAGTAGGCAGGTTACCAGCCATCAAAAGCTGTATACACACACACATACATATATATATATATAATGTTCTTTTTTTGGTTATGTACATGTTAAATAAAACTTATGTTAAATAGCAGAGTATTACTTTGTATCGCAAAACCTATTGCAACAGAAGAACCCCAGCAAAACCCACTCTGAAGAGCTTCACCATCATTTATAGGAGGCATGGGGATCAGAGCAGCATCCTCTAGTCCCTGACAGATCCACTTTCAGAGGGCAGCCCTTCAGACTTCCTCCACTCTGCCAGGCGCTGCTTGAACCATTTCTGGAGAGAAAGAACAGAGCAGGGGTTGAGTGCACTGGGCTGAGCAAACCTCCAAATAACTTTTCTTAAGGTGCAGATGTGATCAGCATGCTGGGACCAGGCAAAGGAAACTCATGCTACTGCTTCTTGTAGCAGGGCACTGTACTGTTCCCAGGCAGTACAGACAGTCACTCCTGACCAAACGGTCTTGTTAAACTACATGTGCACCTCTTTCAAACTCACTTCTCTTGCTCACTTCAGATTTTGACAGCATGGATGACTTCTTATTTTACTGCTGTGAGTCCAGGGCTTTCTTGCAAACGGAATAAGAGATTGGCTGAGGAGCTGGATGATGTCTGTTTAAATGATTGGAGCAGTGAAACAATCACTTGTAGGTCCAAAACTGACAGGAATCAAAAGTTGAACTCCTTCAGAAAGGATGAGAGGGACAGCACAGTGGCTTCTCAACAAATTAAGAATAGATTTTAAAAATAGTTTAAAAATTATCTTAGTCTTCAAGCAATATGCATGTCTATGTTCTTCTTTAGTAACTTTGCATCTATAAGTCAACTTCAAGAGCTGCTGATGCCATTTCAACACAGCCACAATTTAAAATATTAGAGAAAATGCATCTTGTTAAAGCCACACTACCTAAGAAGAAAAGTAAGAAAAGAAATAAAACTCATGTGCCGGAAACACAGCTCAGCCTTTTGTTTGGCAATGTGCCTGTGATTCCTTTTGTTGCAGCTCATCTTGTTGCTATATTTGTTCATGACTATTTTTGAAGCTATTATGGTCCATAGTGATACAACCACAGTGCTCTGTACAAGTGTCTCTTGCACTCACACTGCCTTGGACCACATCCAGTCAGATGATCGACAGCTAGCTTCCTCCCAAAAATTTCACTTTCTGTCCTAAACCATCATCTCCGGTTGACTCAGTACCTCTTTGCATCTCATTTTTACTGAATTTTTTATTAAAATGGCTGCTATTTCTAGCTGATAAAGCACTCCAGATGTCAGGAGCAATGATTCTCTGTGTTATGTGCAATGCAGGCACTTTGCAGCTCACCATCGCAATCTTGATCTTGCCCCTAATGTGACCTTCATCTCCAGATCTCTAGGACTACCCTGGATTTTTAGAAAAACAGGGCTATCAGGGAAGATTTTAAGATATCTGCAGAGGTGTTCTGGGCATATATGGCCTGGTTTTACAACTTGCTTTAGGAAAAAAAAAAGGAACAGTGCCATTTCTAAGGAGAAAAAGGTATTTTAGGGGCACTTAGGGCAGCCTCCTTGCTGCCTCAAATAAGCAATGATACCTGTCTGTCACCAAAGCACAGTAGAGGAGGTGTCCCCTTTTCCACTCCAGCCAAGGACCATCAGTGCAATGGATGGTGCACCAGCATCCTTCCCTGGGACAGGCTAAATGCTGACATTGCTTGCTTGGCTCTTATATCCCTTCGGCTTTGCTGAGGGAAAGCCAGGCTTGGCAGCTCTCTGCAAACTGCTGCTAACTTTCCACTGTATTGGATTTCTTTTCTATACCCATCAATGCTGCTATGAGTCTAGTAGCTTATAAAACACCTTTATCAAAATGAGCTGCACTGCAACCTGAAGGAATTGGGAAGGAGCCACTTGCTTCTGAAGCTTGTGGTAACCTGCAGGTAGGCAGATGGAGCACAGAGCTTGGTGGAATTCCCAGACAGCGGCAACCTGGCCCTGTGAAGGGTTATTTGGAAGCCTCTGTGTCTCCTGGAAAGGCTCACAGACTTGCCTGGCAACTGGGCTTGGGGACGCTGGGGTATCTAATTGCAGTGAGAGGGAGTGTGCTCAGCCTGAGCATGTCCCACAGCACATCCTGCAGGCATTGCATCTATCAGGTATCTGTTTTAAAATGACTGTAGTTTCTTCAGACCATAAAGTCAGCAGTGGTTTGGGCACCCAAGATTATCAGAAATGGGTTGGAAGAACAGCATGCATGGGTTGTATATTCAGGGGCAGGAACATACGGGGTGCAGGGATCATGTGGGTTACGGGGATGTGCTGTGTTGCAGTTAGAACTCTGTGGGTGCAGTGTGGGACTAGGGGTGTGGTGGGGGTTACAGAGGTGCAGAGAAAATTGTGGGTGCAGCATGGGGTACAGTGAGCAACATGCAGGGTGCACAGTGGTGCAGGGAATGCAAGCAAGGAGCGCATGGGACACAGAGGAGTGTAGAGCGTGTGGGGGGAGCATGAGAGGTGCAGGGGCTGCTGCAGGAAGAAGCCTGTGAGGGAACAGACAGGTGCAGATGTATGATAGAGACCAGGACAGGCAGGAGATGTGGGGAGAGTGTATGGGGCAGAGAGGCATGCAGGGGGAGCAGGGCTAGAGCCAAGGGAGAGATGGGGGCCATACACTCACCAGGGTCTGCTCCTCAGAGAGCCCGGTCTCAGCCGCGATGAGGCACAGCGTGGTGGGGTCAGGATGCTTGTTCACCTTGCAGAAGTTGTACTCCAGGATCTCCAGCTGCTCCTCAGTGAGAGTCACTGGCTTTTCCGTGGCCATCTCCTCCTGGGGCAGGGCTATGGGGCCAGGCACTACAGAGAGGGGCCAGTGTCATTGCTTAAGCTGGAAGTGGTCAGTGGAGCCACACTTTGCTGAGCCCCAGTTTTACCATCCCTGTCCCCACCAGCTCCCCCCTTCCACAATGGCCTCTGGCTGCGGCAGGGCACAACTGCCTTCCCAAAGACATGCCACAACTGCCTTCCCAAAGACATGCCACGGAGCTCAGCTGGGAGTGCCGACCCCCCAGCCTCCCAGCAACTCCTGCCTCGGTTTCCTTACTACGGCGACCGCACGCCAACAGCGCCCAGCTGAACTGTCTCACCATTCTTAGCTGGCAGGAAACTGCAGGCTGCTCAGCACTCTCCTGGTGCTGTATTTATAGCCAGCGTGTCTCCCATGGGGACGATTCCTGTTTACAGCCGTATTTAGGCCTGGGCGGCACTTGGGAGTGATGTCACAGCAATGGGAATGTTCAGGGGGGTAATTTAAAGACATTAGTTAAAAAACATTATTTATCCTCTGGGTGAAGGGACAATATCTGGCATCCAGCCTAGGGGGTTGGGTTTTTTCCCCCCCTACTTTCCAGTGATCAGGCAAGTTTGTGCAAGGGAATCACAAACCAGAGAATGCAGAATCTTTTAGGAGCATGGTCTTTGATCCAGCAATCACCCTATTTCCCCTCCTGATCAGTGTTCTAGTTCTCCTCTGGCAGCGTGGCCAGACAAGACACAAAGCTGGTGATGAGTGGGTGAGCTGCTTATTTTTTACTAATATTTAATATTATCATGCATGGGCATAAACAGTTAGTCCTACTATTCCTGAGCATCACTAAACTATTTGTTTGGTTTTTGGTGTATAAGTGAAGAGTCAGTCCTCAGAGGACTGCACCCCATGCATATCTATTGCCCAAGCACTTACTGGCTTTGGCTGTGGTCAGTGCTAGGTGTTCCCAGCAATGGCAGAAACAAGAAGCCCATATTGTCCTCCAGAGTAATGTTTGTCCCACTTGTGTTTTGCATAAATCTCTGGAAGGCTTAGCCCAAAATCACAAGCAAAACAAGTAAGTGCACCTTGGGTAAGTCCCACCCTCTCTTCTGCTGGGCTTCAGGTTTGCTCCAGTGTGGCACGGGGTCGAGCTTGCCAATTCAGTTAACCAAGACACAAGGCGTTGCCCCCACAAAGCATGCAGAAGTCCCTTGATGCTGAATCATTTTGGTGTTTTCGAAACCAGGCTGTGGGGTGTTGGTGGGGGAGGAGCTGGATGCAAAAATGTGGCCTTTCTTGATCTGCTCTCCTGCTGTCCAAGTTGCCTGGCCCATCTCTGTCAGGTGGACTGGTTGGTGTTGCTGGCTCTCCAGTACTGCCAGGAGCTCTTGGCCCACCTTGGGACTCCTCTGGGCCATCCGCTGCAGACTTGCCCTCCCTCCACACTGCAGTCCAGCCTCTCCTCTCCTTTGGCTCTGGGATGTAACCCAGGCACCTCCATCATGCTGCACCCCTACTGAATAGCTTTAAACCCAAGCACTTTCTTGGCTGACTGATAACTCACCTGGGTACCCTGGGATACTGAATGCCCCAGGGCTTCCAATTGCTGACAGAACTGCTAGGATGGGGCTCAGCTTCAAAACTGTTTTGCAGCTTTCAAAGAGCCAGCTCTGCTGTTCATGAGAGTCCGGAGAGATCCTCTTCTTTGAGCTTTACCTCATAAAGCAAAGGCCCTCCTGAACCTAGTCTGCAGAAGGTGCTTTGACTAACAAAAGAATCCTTTGGTATTTGAGTAGGGGCTTATAAATAGACCAGGGCTGGTTGTGAAACAGCCCACTCTGCTTGAGTCACATTTGGCAAATACTGATTGTAACATAGTGATTGCGAAAGGTTGCAGCACCTCTGAATGTGATGGAGTGCTGGTAGACAGTATCATCCACTAGCCCTGGATGGACTGGGGAAAGACCAGCTTTAACCCCAGGTGCTGCAAGCTGAGCTGGCCTTGTCTACAGAGAGTTGCAGGCTGCCTGGGCTTTCTTGGGGCCAGCTCAGTTCAGAGGCATCCATACAGGAAGGGAGCAGCCAAAATTCAGTTCCTCAAGCATTTGAGGTAGTGGAGGTCTGCTGAATGCTGCTCACCTACTTTGGGCGTTTGGGGTCCTCTGGAAAAGATGCAGGGGGAGAAGGAGGTCCCCTGGACTTGAGGTGTTGCTCTCCAACACCATGGCTGCCATGCTCTCCATGAGGTCGAAGTGCAGATGAGGCCAAGCTCAAGCCATAAGTCCTGCCTCTCCTCCTTGATCAGCACTCCACTGAGCCATCTTCCCTTCTCCTAGAAAGCCCAGCCACCACAGGGCTCCTTATCACCTCTGGATCACACATCTAGCTTGGGCCAGCAGCAGCAACATGTCTTGGCGGTTCATAAATCATTGTTTGCAGCCTACTGCATTAATATACATTAATGTGAGTGCATTGATTTGCATAGGGAGCATGTGCTTCAACTTTCATGTTTCACCTGCACAGCTGTTTCTGTTTATCTCCAGGTTCCTGAGGCATTTCCCCGTAGGACACAGTATCTTCTGCTTGCTGGCAGCCCAGGGTGCTCCAGCATGCACAGTGTGATGCCCAATGGCTTTTCCTTGTCTCCTCTGTAACCCTGCTCTGGAGGGACAACAAATCCTACCTCTCAAGGTTGTGAGATGGCTTTCAGGAAAGGGCCAAAACCCTGGGGCTCCTGGAGGACTCTGCAGGTCTCCCCACATCGTAGTCCCTATGCAACATGCAGCATCCAGTATTTAGCACCTTTTGGGTGCTAAAAACTGGGGTTATACAACTGGACTTGAAGGTACCAGGAGTGCCTAAATGCCCTGATTGGCCCAACCTGGACCACTTTTCACCTGCCTTCTATTTAAATGGAGGCTCTGGCCTTCAGGCTGCCTATAGGACCCCTCCCCTGTACAGGGAAGGTACAAATGTCTTGCTTACACTTCTTTAAGCCTGGCGGAAAGATAGAGACTCATAGCTGTTTGGCTCAGCTGCTGAAAATCACTGCTGCTCACTGCTTTTTTCTGCCTGACGTTTTGAGGACATTGGAAAAAAAAATTTGTTTTCAGTGCAAATGTTAACCATCTATTTGGCTTTCAGAAAGGCTGTGGGGCTGCAGTTGTCATTCAGCTCTGTGAGCAGTCCCCTGAGAGCTGTGTGTCAGGGGTTTACTCACACAGGCAGAAATGACAATGCCAGATGCACTGTCACAGTGAAACCACCACAGCTTCGGTGACACCTGCTCTGTCCTAAGTGTCAAACTAAAAACCCCTGGGAAATTCACACTTGGCTCTGACTATCTTGGTTTTAGGTGGAGCAGTGTAAGAGCAGAAGTTTGCAAGAGGTTCAGTGGTTGCCTGTGCTGTGGGTGGCTCCAGCCAGCCTTGCTGTGTACATGACAGCACCTGGTGCTCTTAGTGTGGCTGATAGGGCATTGAAGTGGACCTCCAGAGCCATTTTGGAGTGAGCAGACAAAAGGTAATGGCCAATGGACACAAGCTGCAGCAAGAGAAAGTCTTACTGGATATAGATATATTGTACTGCCTGTGTCCTGTGGTTGCATCCAGCTCCTCAGAGACACCCCGAGTTACTAGCAGGACTGCTAGCTCTGGCTTGAAATGGAGAGGACATCCCTTTGTCTCCCAGTGTGCTTGCCCAGCACTGCTACTGCAGTCAGCATTTACTATCCTGGCAGAAATCTGCTGCTTTTCCAGAAAAGACATGATCTCTGTTTGCTCAGCTTTGCTTTTTTGAACAGTAGTCACAATAGCTGGCTGGCTGTGTAACTTTCTAACGATTTACTGCACCCAAAGCCCCTGGAAATCTCTCTGAGCAGTAGCTCCTGCCAAGCTTATGGGGTCCCCCTAGCCCCTGTTGGGCTTCTTGACCCCTTCCCCAGTGCTCCCACTGTCAGGGCTGGGATGCAACTGGAGGCATCTGCATCTGGTTTTAGCTTGCAGCTATTTCCTGCCACTGCAGGGATCAAAATAGCAGTTCTCAATGCAAACGAGCCCTCTTACCCTGCCCTGCTCTGTTGCAGAGCCATGTCTTGTCCTGAGCTTTGCTTGGCCTCCTGCTGTGAAGTGGCTGTGGATAACATCAGCCAGCATGGTGCACAGGATAAGGTGGGACAGAGGCTTTAAAAATAAACCGGACCCTGCCATAAATAAGGAAAACCCACCTGTCATGCATCCGGTAAACTACCGGTTGAGCCTTTTAGAAGATAATATCGGACGGGAACAAAGCAAACAAGAGCACAGCAGCTGCTGCAGCGGAGGCAGGTCCCCGTGGTAGCTCCCGCTTGGGGTCTCTGTCTGCCTGTGCGCCCCTTGCCCAGCCCCGGGCACGAAGCTTTCTTACCCAGCCTGGCTGGGTGCAGCTCCAACCTCAGCAGCACCAATTCTCACAGGTCAGCTCCTCCCTCCATCCCCCACCTCCCCATCCCCAATAGCAAATCCACCCCAGCACCCCCAGCTCAAAACATGTGCTTACCTGGAGCTGGCAGGGGCCAGAAGGGTGTAAAAGAAGAACCCCGCAGGTCCTTGGGTGACTGCTTAAGTATCTGCGTGTGTGTGTGACAGGCGGGGACCTGAAAAACCTGCCGCAAATCACAGGAGCTCCCGGGATCCACAGCCACTCTCTGGGCTGGTAATTCAGGTTTGGCATCCACTCTCCTTGGCAGGGCTCAACGCATGGTTGTACGCGCTGCGGGGCTCTCGGACGGGTGGCACTGGGAGCCGTCGGGGCTCGTCCCGCCACTCTCCGGGCTGATGGACACCGTCCTAAGGGCCCCGGGCGAGGGCTGCTGGGGCTGTTTCCTGCAGGGGTACAGGAAGGGTTGAAGGCGGGGTGCGGCGGAAACTGCGCTGAGCTGTTCGTTCATCTGCACACCCTGTCCTGCTTGGCCAGGCTGGATCCCGCTCCCCTGCCGCGGGGAGCCCCGCTCCTGGCGTTGCTGATGGAGTACGCCGGCACTCACTCCTTTGCAGGGCTGGCTTCTCATCTCACTTCAGTCTGTTGCAAATGATGTGTCCAGGTTTAACATTCCTGACTCTGCCGTCGCTTTGGTCAGCTGTGTGATCCGGCTGGGTATAGGGGCAGGACTGGTCCTGGATCTGACCTGCTGCTGTAGCCCAAGTGCCCTCAAGAGGCACGGGACAGGAGCCTGGCTGGGGATGGGGAGGAGGGTAGAGCATCCTCTTCTGCCAAAGACCTATCATCTCCTCGGTTAAAGTGCCCAGGAGCCTGCAGTTCCCACTGAGGTGGTCTGGAAGCAATAGACACCATCTTAAAAAGAGTCAGCTTGTGGGGTGGGGTGCATTGGGGAGGGGCTGATTTTCCCTCAGCTTATAGACGGCTGGAAGGGGATGCTGGAAAATCAGAGAGGCTGGAGAAAGGGCTCCTGAAACATTGAGTATGGTTTGCAGTGGCTGAGATTATCTGCCAGAGCAAAATGCAAACTGGCACAGAATGCAAAAAGCTGTGGAGCTGGCTGGAGCCCTGCCCCTGGGGAGAAGTGGCTGGACAAACACAAGAAACCTGCCATATGTTTAGCAATGAGCCAAAACCATCCCAAAGAGGTTTTTAATGTTGGGGGAAACATGGGCCAAGGCAAGGGGACTGCAAAGAGATCTGTGCCGAAGAGCAGGGAGACCTGTGCCAATTTTCCTGGTAAGATGACATTTATGAAACAAGAGTGCTTTTGCTACAGGGATAGCTTCAACGCCTGATAAACCAAGTGGTCCTGTTCAGTGGCTGACAGAGATTTTTTGGAGAAGACTTGATCCTGCATGCCTTGGGCAGGCACCTGGCCAAGGGATTATGTCCTGTTTATCACAGGTGTTAAGCAACAGGAGCATGGGTAGCAATGTGTGCGGACAGACAGGTTGGAAGATGTGTCCGACAGGATGGCTCCAGCAGCCATCAGGGTGCATTCAGAGAGGCTGGAGCAGACCCCTGCAGCAGAACTCAGCCTTGGATTTCAAATCCAGTGTGGGAAAATCCAGGAAGAGGTCCTGAACTGCATACTGTCATGTGCTTGGGGGAGCTCTGGTGGGTATTGCTACTTACCTGCCCCATGCCCATGCTCTGCTCTGGCATCTGCTCTTGGCTAACCTTGGAGACAGGACAGATGGGAAAATACGCTGCCCAGAAATATTTTCCTATGTTTGTATGCTGTTTTTTATTTTTTTCCATGCATGTGCCTCAAGCATTGCAAAATGTGAGTAACCTGGCCCGCAGGAACAGGATGGGCTCCTCTCTTCCCTTGTTTATTACTATCAACAGAAAGAAAGTCTTTAATGTGGAAAAACCCTTTTCCCTTAGCCTGTGAACCCAGCCCAGACTTGCACTGGGAGCACTGGCAGTGACGTGTTTCAGGCTGAGACACACCTCTGAAATGGTTTCAGAGGTTCTAGGAGTCCTGAAGTGGTGACAGCACTAAAGTCACGTCATGAATCTACCCACATGTGGCTGGCACATGCTAATGCTTCTCTGATCTTTTCTGAAATCTTTTAGGCCCTGTTTCTCCTCTTGAGAGAGGGTCAAAGCACTGCTGGAGTTTATGCCTCACCTGGTATGAAGAGATTCTGTCCCCAGAGGATGTCCCTTTGTCAGCTGAACTAGGTTAAATAGAAACAAAATGCAGGGTGCATCCGGGCCTATCACAGAGATTTTTTCCCGACAGGGGAAGAAGTACAGTTGTTGTGTTGTGCATTTGACAGTCTTGCAAGATACTATGGCATTGCAGGGAGGAGTTGACAGCTGCAGCCTGCATTCAGCACCCCGCTCCTCTGGACCCCTCTTGCAGAGGCTCAAATATCATCCATGTTGCTCCATGGCAACATGTTGGCTGCAGTCACTTTGGGGAGAGCATTGGACACATAGCTCATGGCTATCCAAATGTTGTCCCCCTAACGCTGCATGGAGACAGAATGGAAAAAAGATGAAGAGTAGAGGAGGAAAGCAACTTGTCAAGCCATCAGGATAGAATGGGATATAATTTAGCTTTTCTAACTTGTTCATATTGGTTCCTTTTCATGCCTCTGTCTCTCTTGAATTTTGACATGTATTCTTTCCTGAAAGTGAGGCTTAGTACCGGCACCTCTTGTCTGGGCATTAAGCAGAGATTCTTTTTCTTTTTCTAACTGTGTGAATTAAAAAATGTGCACTTTCCAGAGACTCCAGCCCAACCCAACTACCAGAGAGCAAAACCTTCCTTTCTCCCTCTGAACACACCAATGCAAAGTAGAACCTCAAAAGCCATCTTCTGTTTTGTTTTTCAGTGGTTTTTTTTCCTGGTATGCTGGACTTTTCTGGCTACTAATCCAAAAAATGTGGCTGGAAACAAGGCTTTACTGAATATTTTGGCTTCCGTTCAGTCAGAGAAGAGTTTCCTAACCAGGAAACTTACTGGACAACTCTTGCAGTAAATCAGATGAGATTTCTACCTGCATAGGCCCCTTGTCCCAGAACAGTGTAAGAAATCTGTTGCTCTTCTAGGTGCAGCTAATAATTGCCTTTGATATCACAAAACACAAGAACGTGACTGAATTGTTGATCTTTTGATCAGTTTTTCCCTAGGAGAACAGCAACACTAGCTGCAGCCAAAGAGCCAGCAGCACACAGTGCTCACTCAGACCATGCCCCGGACAGGAGGAAGAGGAGGTGGGCACAGGTGGCCCCTTGCTGCTGGAGCAGGGCTGCCTGCTGCCCACCTGGGCTCAGCAACTGCCTCTCCTGCACTCTCTTTCATGCATTTTCCTTGGTTTTTTTAGTGGGCAGGTTCAGCCTCTCTCTCCTCAGCATTAGAACGGATCCAGGCCAGACAGATACTAATCAGATGTGACTTCCAGTAAGATCCCTGCCTTTACTTTGTCTGTGGGATACAGATGGATGGAAACTGCAATGTTTTATTATTCCTCCAGTTGTTCCAATACTTCTCAGAGAACAGTGTCATCTCATTGGTATTTCCATGTGCAATCTCTGCCTGGGGTACAGTCTTCCTCCCTACTCTCCCTCTTACTAACCAGATTGTTTTGAAGTGACTAAACCAGGAGCTGATACATGCAGTTCCTTGCCAGGAGGATTTTCAACAGCACTGCCATTGCTTGTGGGCAGAGCGTGCCCCAGCACGCAGAGACAGCCGGCAGGGCATCCCACGTGTGAGCTGCCTGACATGCCCAGCCCAGGGAAACATGGGCTCTGGCACTGGGGAGAGGCAGGGAGGAGGACAGAGTAGACATGCAGAACTGCTTTCTACCCTGGAAGTGCCAGAGGTGTGCAAAGGAGAGTGAGTGCCCTTCCACAGATTTGGATGGCCATGTGCTTTCAAGGGAGCAAGTCAGGGAGGCAACTCATGGGTTGAGATAAAAACAGTTTAACAGTTGAAACAAAGTAAAATGTAATAATGATAATAAAATACAACTACAACTAATAAAGAGTTATAATTATAATAATAATAATGAAAAAACCCAAACAAGAAAGACAAGTGATACACAATACTATTGCTCATCACATGTTGACCAATGCCCAGTGTTCTGAAATCTGTTCTATTCTGAATCTCTAGGCTGAAGGTGCTGGGTTTTGGAAGTCCTGACTCAAATACTTCAGCAATCAAATACTTCAAGTCAAATACTTCACGGTCAAGGGAGGAACTTTATCCTTCCCCGAAGCAGGGATGAGCTCTCCCCAAACACTTGCCTGCCACCAGCACAACCCTCTCAGTTGCAAGCAGGCATGCTATCCAGAAGCCCTGCTTCAAGGCTCTCAGTGGGGTGAGCAGAGATGCTGACCATCCCCTGGCTGTCATGGAGCCCAGCCACTTTTCTCAGCCTTCACCATGAGGGACAAAGACCACGTTTTCCCCTCTTGCTGCCCCGTGCCAGGCAGCCCATGGGTGCTGTGAGGGGCAGGCAGGGAGTCTCTGGCTGCAGGGGGTGCCTGGCCCTTGCACCCACCTTGCAGCAGCAGTGCCATGCAGCCAGTCCTGTGCTTTCTGTCAGACCAGTTTGAGTGGGTGGGAGAGGACCTTGGTGGGTTCCTACTGAGAGGTGACCCTGGTGCCACCAGCTGCTGAGGCATTGCCACAGGCGATGAGCAGGATGGGTCATCTCCATGTGATACACACCACACCCCCTGTGGCACCTGTGGTACCCCATGGCATGGGCAGGTGACCAGGATGACTTGCAGAGTGACAGTGAACAGGGATGGGATGTAATGGAGACTGGTCCTCTTCTCCAGCTGCTCTGTTGGGTGTCAGGGAGTGGCTTCAGGGGCCCTATGCAATAAACTTTAAAAATGTTTTCCACTTTAAGAGCCTGGTTGCTAAAGAGGGTTCCTGGGAAGCTGGCACTGACAAAGGTGTCACAGCTATCTGGGTGCCAGCTGCCAACAGTCTTCTCTACACAGCTGGCCATGGGGATGGTGAGTGAACACAACAGAGGCACTTACAGCTGGCTTCCTCACTGCTCTGACAGCCTCACTACCCCAGGGAATGGGTCACCCACAGTGGGACATCCCCTGCTCCTGGGACCTCCCCCATGCTCCAGCTTTGGGGGCTGGGGCACTCCGCTGTCAGAGGGTCGGTGTGTGTCTAGCAGAGAAGCTCCAGGAGGGAGGAGGATGCTCCTTGCCATCTCTCAGGATACAGTGACTGGGCTAGTGGCTGGGGATGCTTTCCAGGGAGCAGAGTGCAGTGCAGTGCTGCACAGGCCAGCAGCTGAAGAGTGCTCAACCCATGGGAGAGCCCAGCAGGC